TAGAAAGATAGGAGCAGATTAATTGTAATAAAGCCTCATTCAAAGGGTCAAATCATTCTCTTTAAAATATGAGTATCTGCGACAAAAGGAACAGAGGGTTTTTTCTGTAATTTTGTGTTTTTTTTTAACTTAAAATATCAGAAACATTTCACCAAACTCAAACCTTTAAAAATACTTTTCCAACTAAATCTACTGGAATTAAGTGCAACATCATAAGTACTAGATGCTCTTGTAGAAGTGAATGTAAATGCATTCATATAGTGAAGGTAGGTGAATTCATATTTCACTAAGGAAAAGCAGAAGTTGAGGGTCTGTACATGAATGTCAATGGCTTATACATGAGTACTTGACTATCTTTATACTCTAAAAGAGCCATGAAGGACACTTATCCAGAGAATGTACTAAAGGGAAAAATTGCCTAAAGAAGCATCAGATAGAACTGATGCTGAAGATATAATAACAAAATATTAGAACATTGTCATTAGTGAGTAATTAGAGCAAATTCACCCAGTGAGCCCCTTTAGAGACTGATCACCATCAAAAGACAGCCACTGTTGCTAGCAAGAATTGATGAAACAGACAGTCTTTATATGTAGTTATTTAATATGGCGGCCAGATTATATTACTTCATAAATCTCCCCTACCAACTCATAAAATGAGCATCCCTCTTCTTAAAATAGGTCAAAATAGGCAACAGTATTTGTCAGAAAATGTTTTTAGATCATATCTGTTTTCATTTTTTATATAAAACAAATACATATTAACCATTAATCCTATGCACGGGGCTCTGAGTACAATGCCTAAAATTGCAAAAACAGTTAACAAATTAAGTAAATAAAATTACGAGACTGAAATAAATACACAAAAGGGTGGCTTATGAAACTTTGAGAATAAAATTAATGTGCAAAAGAATAAAATTATTCTGAGAATAACTATGGCTACTTTTTAATTAAAGTCAATTCAAATAGAAACAAATATTATGAGGAATTTGCCAGAGCATCTAAATCAAGTATACCTTTTAATCATAAAAAGGAAAAATTGCTTATTAAATAAATGCTGGAATAGTTAACCCACTCTTCGGACAATTATTAGCAATTCTTTAAGACAGGGAAGTTCCTGAGAATTTTGGAAATTAAGACACCTGTGTCAAATTAGTTCTATATTACTTCTATAATAAAATTTGCAATCAAATTAAAATTACAATGAACGTGTGTTTCTCTATCTATAGGTATACATTATTTAGCACTTACCTACAAAATCTAATGCCAATTTGAGCAAAATAATTTTTAAATTAGTTTTAAGCTATATTACTTTGATCTGACCTGTCCTCACAAAAATAAAGTTGTGGTTGAAAAGCAGAAGAAATTTAGTGAGGGCCAACTTATGTAATAAAAAAATTGCTGTTCGCTCTCATATGTTACCAGATAAGTACTATTGCTATTGCTACTGCTCTTATTACCATTTTTAATGTCATAGATATCGGGATAAAGTTCAATAGATCACTTAACATTCTGACAAACCAAATAAACTGCTTCCTTCAAGAAAACACTTGATATGAAACAAAATAACTTTTTACTCAAGGTCATATATCTATAAAGAGCATATAGACTTAAAATTTTCTACCCTTATGGTAAAAAATGTTCTAGAGTTAGTCCTTCAACCCCAAAATATCCAGAAAATTTTCCTGAAAAGTACTGTTCTTCCTGGTTGGAATTTTGCATATTCCTAATTGGTTTTACCCCAAAAGTTAGGGTTTGGAGAGCTGTTAGTAGGTAAAAGGACAATTAGAAGAGGTTGTCACATTGTATGCTTGTTATCATTATTGTTGGAGGCTTTTCATAGTGAATATATTTTAGCAAGCTGAGAAATTTCAGGCCTGAGAGAATAAAAAAAAAGGTTTGGTGTTATTAGACCCCAAACTATGAATACAAAATTTCACAGGCACTCACAGTTGTTAAATCAAAAGCCTACACTAAATGGTCTTATTGCACACATTAGTCCTCAATTCAAAAAGGTTTAACAAAATCCATTTTGCTGTTGCTGTGGACTCATGTGGGAGGCACAGATAAGTAAGTTCAAAGAATGTTCTCTTGCTATGACTCACTCATCTTAGACTTCGGTCTTGTAACCTTGTATTTCGTTCTCTTGATTAATTTGAACCTGACACGAAGTCCATGGATCACAGATGTTCATTTGTCTATTCAAAACTCAAGCAAAGGCTTAACTAAATCTCATTACACACAACCACATCTTAAATGTATGTGTTTTCAAAGACCACTGTTGGAACTGAGTTTACAGTGTAGAATATAGATTGTCTGCCTCCTAAAACAATACCTTGCAACACTCTACAGCACTGTAATTTTTAATTTCATAATAGCATTGTCTTCCCGTTGTTCATCGGTTTGCTTGAGCGGGCACCAGTAATGTCCCCATTGTGAGACTTGTTGTTACTGTTTTTGGCATATCAAATACATCACAGGGAGCTTGTCAGGATTTGCTATTCAGACAGAATACTCTTGATAGCTTGCTGGGCTCTTCGAGAGGAGCAGAGAAAACGAACCCGGGTGGGCTGTGTGCAAGGCAAATGCCCTACCTGTTTTGCGATTGCTCCAGTCCAATTTCATAAAACAACACCAAAATCGTATTTGAATACAGACATTTGAAATGCATTTAGTAAACTGTGAGTTTAAATAATACTTATCACACACATTTGCATGAATATCTTATATAAAATTAAGTCCTTGGGTGGTAGATGTATGATTAGTCCACGTTTGAATAGTCAGGGAAGAAGGTGCTCAAAATATATTAAGAAAACTAGAAAATGCAAGGTCAGCCACCAGAGCGTCAGATATGTTTTAAGAACTCCACTAACTTCTAGTAGTGGATTGATAAATGAAACAGACACTGAAAGACTGATTCCATATTTAATATTTAGTCCTTCTAATAAATTATATGTTAAAATTTAAATAACAGATCTATATTCCTGAGCATCTCCTATTTTGTTAAAGAGATCTTGTTAATGTTATAATACAATATTTGGCATTGTTTCTGGTTGTTAATCAGTACTGCAGGATAATAATTGTAAAAGAAATAGCAGCAATACTAGACACTATACTAAACATTTCTACTTATTATTTTCCCCCTCATAATAATACCGTAAGATTGTATTATGTGTTATTCCTACAACACAGATGAGTGGAATGAGAGAAAAGTAATATAATTGACCAAGTTGATACAACAAATAAATTTTAGAGCCAGAATTCAAGAATGTAAAGTTTGTGAGTCCATAAAAAAATGGATTAAACTGAAAGGCTTTTTATGCAGTGTACCTTAAAAGGGTTGAACATTGGATAAGGAAATTAAATTTAGTCATTGTCCAGCTCTATAAGGATTTTACTGAACCAAACACCCAGGGAACCTTAAGTATCACTATGATGTCAGAGACAGTAAAGAAAAATCTGTGGCTTGAACTTCAAGCTCCTGTTCTCCCTTGGACTTGGATCTTCCTTGCCTGACTCTGTTTCTTTGCTCACTTATTTCCATTCTGGAGAAATGTGTGTTTCCTGAGCACATTTTCCCCTCTTTCTCTTATCTAACATCTTTCTAAGCAAGATCGATTCAATAAAAACAAGCTTGCTTCACAAATAAACAAAAGTAGAGACTGGACAGGATGGGACTGGATGGGACTGAAAGGGACAGGATGACTTGGAGGGAAGGGGAGGGTTGAGGAGAGGGGAGGGGAGAAAAGAAACAGAGGGGAGGGGAGGGAAGTGTAAGGGGAAGGGGGAGAGTGGAGGAGGGAGAGGGGGGAGGGGGAGGAGAGGAGAGAGGGGAAAGAGAGAGGGGGAGGAAAGGGAGGGGAGGGGAGAGGCAAGTGGGGGGAAGGGATGAGAGGGGGAGGTGAAAGAAGAGGAAGGGAGAGGAGAGGAGGGGAGGGGAGGGGAGGGGAGGGGAGGGGAGGGGAGGGGAGGGAAGATGAGAGGGGAGGGGAGGGGAGGGGAGGGGAGAGGAGAGGAGAGGAGAGGGGAGGGGAGGGGAGGGGAGGGGAGGGGAGGGGAGGGGAGAGGAGAGGGGAGGGGAGGGGAGGGGAGGGGAGAGGAGAGGAGAGGAGAGGAGACGTGAGGGGAGGGGAGGGGAGTGGAGGGGAGGGGAGGGGAGAGAAGAGGAGAGGAGAGGAGAGGAGGGGAGGGGAGGGGAGAGGAGAGGAGAGGAGAGGAGAGGAGAGGAGAGGAGAGGAGAGGAGAGGAGAGGAGAGGAGAGGAGAGGAGAGGAGAGGAGAGGAGAGGAGCGGGGAGGGGAGGGGAGGGAGGGGAGGAGAGGGGAGGAGAGGGAAGGAGGGGGGAAGGGAAGGAAGGGGAAGGGAGGGGAGGGGAGAAAGGAGGGGAAGGAAGGGGAGGAGAAGGGAAAAATATTCTACTGGAATATTTTGTAGTGGCACATCTCTTTTATATATGCCTGGAAGACAGTTGGAGGATTTCTTAAAAATTGACAAAGGAAAAGTAAAATTTATAGAGCAAAAAGTAACAGGAAAAAAATAACAGGAAGAAGTATTTAAAAACTCGTTTTATTACCTTTTGAGTTAAATTTCTTGTCCCTCAAATTTGCCTTTACCTCTGCCATTAGACTTACTATATCTCCCAAACGGAGAGAAAACTTTCATAATTTACTCCATCATTTTCAAAGTCAATAATAAAACGCAAATTTCTATTTAATCTATTAAACTGCCAAAGATTAAATGCCTGAAAGTGGCAATGGAAAGCAAGGATCTCCATGGCATTTTCAATACATGTATTTCACATTTCAACTTCCAAAAATACCCTGCATGATATTTGAACCACAAAATACTGTGCCACTTGCAAAATGTCTAGTTACGCATTTATTTTTGTTACTCACAAAGCTTATGTGTCCTAAGATACCACATTTGGCTACCCTGTTAAGACATTTGAATGTAAAATTATCATCCGCAATAAAATCATAAGAGAGAAATAAGAGCAGATTACCTGGGGTTAAGAGGATGACTGACATAGTGATGAGTGAGCATACAACTAAAATCACCAGCAGGGCAATAGCAATTCCCTTCCAGTTTCTCTGTGGAGGGCTGTTACTTCCGAGTTCCTGCCGAGACAGAAAAAATAACAGAGAAGATTCATAATTATACATGTTCCTAGAGAAATGTATTCATAAAGAGATGATTCAGCGCATAGCACAATCACAGTTTGAAAGCTGATTAGAATCCTTTTCCTCGTCGGTAGCTTATTTAATTATACAAAGGTGCATATATTATAAATGGCCATCCTGGGGGGGGGATCATATTTCTCTAAGATAAACCAGCAGAGCTTTATGCCTGCTGTCCAAAACGTAGATGTTGCTAAAATAAATTGACTTTAAACACCAGGCAGATAGGGAAAGTACTAGGCAAAATAACTATGGGAATAAAGTGGAGCCATTTACATTTTCTCTTCCAACAATGGAAAGAGCAATAAAGATGCAAATACAAATATTCCCTTAGCGTTAGAGATTATTTTTTTTCCTAAACTGACCAAGAGAAAAGGGTTAGTCATGGGAAAATCATTCTAAATGTCATTCACTGAACTGTAGTGATAGCTTAAGGGCCTTAGTGAACATTTGAGTTTGATTCCCAGCACCTCATATTCCCCAGGTATCATCAGAAATGACTCCTGAGTAGTGATTCTGGAGTAATCGCTGAGCATCTCTGTGGCTCCAAATTAAAAAAAAAAAAGAAAGAAAAAAAAAGAAAAAGAAAGAAAAAAAAATAAAAACAATGGCAACAGACATAAAGAGCATTTCTATACAACAAAATGCTCTTTATATAGTAAAATGTATTTCTTCAACATAACTGGTTATTTGTTTGTTTATTTATTTATTTATTTATTTGGAGGATTTTTAGGGCACTCTTGCCAGTCCGGGAATACCCTTCTCTGTGATCATGGATTACTCCTAAAGGATTCAGAGGGTGCTGGGATCAAACTTGTGTCAGTAGAGTATTATTTCTCTACTCTAACTGCTGTAGTATCAATGATCTTAAACCGCAACCGGTCCTTTTACAACTGTGGCTCTGTTACTTTTAAAAGCAATAGCATATAGTAACTAAAACAGACGTGATTTATGTCAATGTTAATGATGTCTTCTCCAAGGGTATATGGTTCTGGAAAAGAAATAACGCTGATGGGGAATGTAAGTATGAGCATTTCTTGCAATAAACATAGTAAAAAAAATACTTCTTCAGGTGATCGGGTGTCTACCCTGTTCATCAGAAATGTAGAGCTTAATTCACCTATGCAAAATGCAGATCCCCTGGGTTTGAAATGCCAAATTTTCTTTCAAGAAAGGTTATACAACACAGCACTCAAAATAAATTTCTTTTTCTAAAAACAAAACTCCTTTTCTTTTGTCCCAATAAAGCCTTCTTATTTAGAAATAGGTGAGTACTTTGGGAACATATGAAACAATATTAAAGATAAGTGATTACTAGATATGCATAGATCATCCAGATCACTGCCAATCGTGCTCCTTCAAAGAGCAGTACAGATTATAAAACAAGGATATCCACAACACAGAGTTTACGTAAATCAAAATGAACTTTTAATTTACTAAAGTACAAAGAAAAAAATTGCAGGAAGTCATAAACAATAAACCAGACTTTTTTTTTTTAATCTCTCTTTATCTTACTAAAAGAGAGGAGAACTAACCAAGATATTTATCTATCTTAAAATGCAAGTAAAATGAAGACACTAAAATGAGACACTTTTAGTGTCATAATATTCTATGTTCATTTCCACTTAGAAAATCCCAAGGTCGTAATGTCAAACACATAAGTAATACTCTCCATATTCAAACAGAACAAAAGTGATAATTGAGATAATGATACAAGGAGAAAAATACTGAGATTTATTAAAACATAGTACTAATAGTATTAATACTATGTATTATATATTAAAGGGCTGGAGTGATAGAACAGTGGGTAAGGAGTTTGCCTTGCATGCAGCCGAACCGGGTTCGATTCCTCAGCCCCTCTTAGAGAGCCCAGCAAGCTACCGAGAGTATCTCACCTGCACAGCAAAGTCTGGCAAGCTCCCCGTGGCATATTCGATATACCAAAAACAGTAACAAGTCTCACAATTTGTTGTGAGAACAAATTGTGGAAACACTGTGCTACAGTGCTATATGCACTATTAATAATAAGTAATTTGTATTATTATCTAATAAGAATTATTCAAAAAATACTGTAATGCACAATGAATTTATATAAGTTTGTGGGTATATTTTAATAAAATGTATTTTAATAACATGTCTATTTACAGCATTATAAGAAATATGTATAAGAATATATTAATAGCAACTCAAAAAGCTGAATTTTCAATTTTAGCCAGGGAATTGCATTTAAACACAATGATTCTTATTGCTCTGGTATTACATGAAAATAATAAGCATCAAATCTGCATTTTCTACAAAATAAAGTGGTAACACGTGATTAACCATGTTTGTAACTTTAGAAGGGAATAGAGGGTTTTGTGTGTGTGTGTGTGTGTGTGTGTGTGTGTGTGTGTGTATGTGTGCAAGTGAAAAGTGAGTATAACAGGACATGCAGGCATTTGCAAAGTTAAAAAGAGTCTGTACTTTTACATTATGGGAAAATCTTAAAGCCTGGAATAAAGTGATAAGCAAAATTGAACTAATCTTTCAAGAGCTTTTCAAAGATACAGTGCTATAGATTTTATTTCTAGAACAAATAAATCCTTTATCGTTTCAACCATTTTAGAATATCTAAAGGAAGAATTCCAATTTATTTTCAAATTTACATTATTCAATAGCTGTCTAAAAACTATAGCAAAAAGACAAAAATGTTTAATGTTAGTAAATAAATGTAAATTAATATGCCAAATTAAAATTTACCAGAAAATATATAGGGATTTATTATAACATGAATAATAATTTAATATTACAATTACTTATCTAATATTGGGATCATGTTTCATATAAAATATCGATTAATAAATATTAATAGAAGATAGTCATATATATCGTATCTTATTGTTTATAATTCATGCTTATAGTGCATATAATTTCTTAATTCCTCATTATATTCAGAGAGTCTTTTTGATGTTTCTCTGATGAGTAAATTCTGCTAAGCAAATGCTTTGTAAATTAACACGTTACAAATTGTTCAGTATTAATTTTTCTATATATCTTTATTATCATTGCATAACAGATTGTGCTTAATCTGCGCTGCTAAGTAACTATGGACATCAGTATCACTGTCACCTACTAGCTTGTTAGAAATGGAAAGCAAGGGTCTTTTGTTGCTGTCTGGTTTATTTTTTAAAATCCTGCTTTGGCATATTTGCTCACCGTTAATTTGTTTAGAACATAACTAGCAATTATCTAAATTTTAATTGACATTATCACTCCCAATAATTATAATTGTCGCCTACAATTCTAGATGGATCACCATTAAATTAGAAAACAAAACAAAGATGGCAGCTAATATCAATATATCATGTAGTGATAGTTTTACGTTCCTAGCATTATGATGTAGCGGTCTGGCTGAGCATCAGTCATTCTGAACATGTTCTGAGTTCAAAAACAGTAGCTAAGTACATGAGAAAACATTTTTTTAATGTAACTTAATTAACAAGATGAGAGGCTAGAAAGCTACAGGTTCCCATACCTCCTCACAGTTACAAAAGATAAGATAGATGCTGGACATAGTACAGAGGGTAGGGTGTTTGCCTTGTACATGATTGACACAGGTTTGGTCCCCATCACTCCACTTGGTTTCCTGAACTGGCCATAGAGCCAGCAGTGGACACTGAGAACCACCAGGCATGACCGCCCCCCCCAAAAGTAAAAAAGTAAATCAGCTAGTTAGCTAAAATAGCCTTGGGAGTTTTGTAAACCACTCAGAAATCTACAGCTAAGCAAATGCTTAGTTCCCTACAAACCTATACTCAAAACATATAAATTCAGCCTTGAAACTGAGGTAATCAGAAGGTAAGAGGAGAGTATTGATAAAGATGATAGGAGGTTCAAATAACTCTGCTTCTTGAGTATGAAAATAATGGAGGTAGTTTTGCTATGGCAATGTACATTTAAAAGAGGTATGAACATAGGCAGCGGGAAAAATAGACATTAATAAAAATATTTACAAGAGTAAGAAGAAATCAGCAGTATCACTATATGCACACACATACAAGATATAGAAAGAATGACATTTCTAGGCTCTCTTCTTTCTTGGCATAATCAAACAAGATCAGAAACACACTCGCTCCTCTCACCTCTTCTTCTCATCTCTCCCTTTTTAGTTCTCCCCTTTCATTTCTTCCTCTTATTTTCTTTTGTAAATGGCCACACCAAGCTGAGCTCAAGTCTTACTCCTACAGTCAGGGATCATTCCTGGCAATAACTAGGGTACCATTTGTGATACCCAAAATTGAACTGGTCAGCTATGTGTAAGGCAAGTGCCTAAGGGTTTTCTATATCTCTGGTCCTTGTTTCCTTTCTTTAAATTCAAGAAAGTGGAATATCTTAGCATTAGGTTGCTTGTTTCAGAGTCTATTGAAGGACTGTGTTTCATCCTTTTCCAACTTGGCAGTTTGAGAGAAATGATAGCAAGGTTTGGCTCTCAGCTCAGAAGCCATGAAAAGCAGTGATGCTTGTCATGGTGCATTAAAACTGCAGAGAGAGATTGTAGACAAGGAGAGTCTGAAGACAAAAGATGATGGACAGAGCATCAAAGCCACATGAGTCGTATAGAAGAAGGAGTAAAACACATACAGAAATTAAGACATTTTAAAATAAGAATATTTAGAGAGGATTTATCAGGGATAAGCTGCACACAGAAGGAGGTATGAGGAAAACAATTGTGATACAATATTTTGAGAATAACTGGAGCTTTCATGCTAGACTGATGAGTGAACATTTCCCTTCATACGCCACCAGCTTCCAAATACTGGAAGAGGTGCCTAATTTTCCAATGGTCAATTTTCAATAAAAAATATTCAACATGTCAAAAAAGAAACACAGTTCACTCAAAGGAACCAAAAGAAACTCCTAAAATCTATAAAATGATAATGTCAGAGTTACTAAAGGGAGAC